TGCATAATCAGGATTTTAAGTATTTAACAAACTCTAAAAGTTCTTTGTAGCTCCAGCTAACTTTGAGATGCTTTAAAGGAAACCTGAGGCATCTTAGATATTAAGTTAACTAGGATTATTCGATATGTTAAGTTAAATATAATCAGTCATAATTCTAGTAATTACAAGCAATTCTGTTTATCGATTACAGATGTTTAACCATGACTTTTAAGTCTTTTGTCATTATGGACGGTTAAAACTGCTATTACAAAGGTACTTCGTCTTTAAAAATATTCATCAAAAGTCAGTGGAAACAGTGGGTTACAACAGTTCCACATCAGAGGATGGCAATGTGAGGTTTCCAGCCCATGCCGTCCTCTGATGCAAAAAACAAACGGCAGCCCTGTCCCTGGGGCCCCTAGATAAGGCATTCAGAGATTTTTACTCCCTGATAGGCAAGGTCAACGCCCCTACTCAGCCCAGAAGTAGTTTCAGAAGACAGACCATCGCCCCTCTGCAACCCCATAAAATTAAGGGAGTAAAATCTCTGAGTGGGGAATGAGATAGGAAGAGGGCAGGGCACAGCCATTCAAAGAATAACACAGCAATTAACACCAGAATGGCTAAAGATTCAACCCCTAGTAGGCCTTGAGGCTCAAGATGGTGGGAGACTTGACTTACAGTAGACATTGACATTATATAACCACTGTAATACAATAGCATTGCAAATAACATGCTCACAGGCACCATGGCAGCCCCAAGGCTAGCCACAAAAGGTCAAACAAAGAGTGGGAAATGGACAACTTCCTGGGAATCCCGGCCCCTTCCCCAGGCTAGTTAGACTGGTCCTTCCACTTTTTAGCATATGAAGCCACAGAGCCCATAAAAACTGGCAACACAGCGCCTCCTGGCTGCAGTCCCCTCTCTCTCTGCCCACACTCTGTCTATGGAGTGTGTACCTACTTTTATGCTAACATGATCACCCGCCACACCCTGTGGCCTTTTCTTGCCTTTTGACGTATCTCTAAATAAATCTACCTTTACTCAAAAAAACAAAAAGCTGATAATAATAGGTGTCAAACCATTGTTTACCACATGTAGCATATGACGTGCTTCACAAAAAACATGATCGCTAATGTGCATTGAGCACTTTGATGTACAATCACTGATGAAAATTTTTAAATGTTTTAATTAATTTATTCCTCTCAACACTATGGTGTAGATTCTTTCATTATACTTGTTGGATCAATGAGGAATCTAGGTGGATGGTGTCACATTTCAATCTAAATTTCTTGTGTAAGTCAAATACAATTTCTAGCAACCAGGATTTTGATTGTCCAATGTCAACTCATATGCACAGTATTTTTTATCCCCCATTTTAAAAAATAGTGGTAAAATACCCACAACATAAAATTTACCATCTTAATCATTTTAAGTGTACAGATCAGGAATGTTAAGCATAAGCACATTGTTGTACAGTCTTCAGAACTCTTCTCAAATCTTCCAAAACTGAAATCCCATACCCATTAAATAATCCACAGACCCACCATTTTACTTCCTGTCTCTATGAATCTGTCTACTCTACATATTTCATACAAGTGATCCACACAGTATTTGTCTTTTTATGACTCATTTATTTCATATGTTACAGAATTTTTGAAAACATATAAAACTATGCTAATGCAAAAATACTAACAATCATTTTATAAGGTTTTTATTATTATTATTCCCCCAAAAAAGGGCCATGACAACTGACAACTTCTGTGTTTTTTATAACCCAAATGATTATCTTAATTTATTGTTCTTTTGTATTTCTAATCATTTACTTAAAGCAAGAAAGGTTTTAATCAACACATGCTACCTATGACAAAATATGTATCAATAGTAGATATTTAAAGGAAAATTTATGATCAATAAGATACTTGGTACATTTTGCATTGCCAATTTCTCAGATGAAGACTTTGAGACACACTTTACTACGCTTTATGAAGTAGATGCTATGTTCACTAAGAAATGTATTCCTAAACATTTCTAAGTTTTAATTATATTTATTTCCTTTCTTTTTTAATAAGTGGGATAATTTTTGTCAATTATTAAATCCAGCTGAAATTAAATATTCTATATTCCCAAGACAAGTAGTCATCAACATTTCGTATTTAAAATTTTATTCTTAAACTACAAATTGAGAGCACCGAAGTCAAAGAAGAGTCTCATGTTCTTGTAAACTACCAGATAATTTAATTCTTAAAAATTATTTTTCTTCCTTAACAAGTGACATTAAGTAGATAGTGGCTTTTCCTTTGTAAAAAGCCTCTTAAGAATGTTACAGTTCAGGTTTCAAACTTCAGCTTTTTCAACAAAGCTCAAATTTTCTGTTCAACATTGTTCTTTCATGACCTCTGATGGCGAAAACGTAAATTGACTTTACAAATACCAACAGAAATAAGGCCACAAATTCCATTTACCTTGTTACTGAAGACACTTTCCCTTCTTTTCATATTTAATCACCTTGAGAATGTAATGATATCAATTATTCAACAATGTAGAAAGAGCATTGGACAATTTCATGCTACTTCAAAGCATAAGAAAGCCCTCTTATTTGCAGTATATAAATCTCAAAGTGTATGTGTGCACATTACATACAGTAGAATGAACATTTTAATGATATAATGACTTACTACTGTGACTACTGGCTCTCAAATGGAAACTGAATAAAGTTTGGATAAGTTGAAACAATTATTTTAATTTACAAAACCATCATTCTTCCTAAATCTCTGTACATATGAAAAAGGCAACAAAATTGTATAATAAGATCTGAATTATTTGTATTTATTTATTACTTAAACTTAGTTAGTAAGATTACTGTATTGACCTAAGTTCCTCCCAAAAAGGCCTTCCTCAGGGAATTTATCTGGGAATGTGACACCAGAGAGCAAGTATAATGAACAAGTGGTGAAAATGGGGAAGAAGGAAAAGCTGAAATAAGGATATGTTATCAAAATGACTATGGCCAACCTGTGCTGGATTCCATAGGCCTTCCAAGAGGCCTCAGTGAAAGCCAGGAAGTAAAAAAGGAGAAGGATTTTTCCATGGGCTTCCATCACTCATGGATTTAGTGGCCCCTGGACTTTGATCACCATATAACCACTTGTAGGCTGCATGAGTATGGCAGCCCAATGGGCATTCCGCACCTGCACTTCTTGTCAGAAGACTTCCAGGGAATCTGGTCAAAGTCTATGAGAACTGGTAGTAGAAGCAGTGACCTCAGTAGACTACAGGGCCAAGAGGATGTTAAGTAATGCACAAAGTGGTTGCTGATGCATTAGAGCCTCTGCACCCCTTAGTCATGCCATGCCGTGCCAGTGAATAAGGCATTTTGTGAGCTCCAAGTTCATGGTGCTGGTGGAGGCTTTGCTGGCAGAGAATTAAAATGCATTACCGTTGAAGGTTTAGCAGGGATGAATTGTTACCATCTTCAGGGTAGAAGAGATCCAATAAAGTTAATCTGATATCAAATGGAGGGAAAATATATCACAGATTCAGGACAAGTCTCTGCTGTTGGCAAGCTGGGCATTCAGAAAGGAGCAGTGTCTAGATATGCATGGTGCCATATCTGTTCATGGGTCAATTGTCCAAACAGTGAGGTCTCTAAAGGTTATGGATAGAGTATAATTCACATTCGCAGAACAAACTAAGCTGTCCACATGGTTGTTGAGTACCTTCTATTCAGAGAACGCTCTTTGGTGGGCATTAGCATGAGACAATGATCTGCAGGCTATATACCTACCCCCATAGATCCACCTGCCTCTTTCCCCAGATTTCCTTGTCTCTGTTTTTTTTTAAATCTTGCTTTATCAAGGCACCTGACAAAAAGCCAAGTCATTTGTTATTTCCCAGTAGTGTATATGTATACGTATATGTGTGTGTGTGTGTGTGTGTTGAATTCTCTTGTAGATTGTAAGGGTTAAGTGAAGTGATGCATGTACAGCTCCTATCAACTTAAGTACTCAATAAATAGTAGCTTAAAAAAAAGCTCTGTTATTTTTCACATCTTTATCATAGGGCAAAGTTCCTGGCACGTACACATTTGTACTGCAATAAATACTTGCTGAATGAAAAGTTCAGGATGGACATATATATATATATATATATCTCCATATCTCAGGCCACTTCTATCTCCATATAATGTAATTTATGAATTGTTCTGTTTGGAGCTCTTCCCACTGAGAGGATTTCCCTTTAAGGATACATTCCTTTAGGGATACCTCTGGGTGAAGCAGCAGTGTGACAACAGCTCATCTATGGCTGCCATCAATATATCACTCTAACCCACATGTGAACCAGTAGCTTTTTAAAAAATCTGTTATTTTTCACATCTTTATCAAACGGCACAGCTCCTGGCACATACACATTTGTACTGCAATAGATACTTGCTGAATGAAAAGTTTAGGATGGACATGATAAGGTCCTTAACTATGTCTGCTGGTAGCGATACGTTCAACTGCTACTGATTTTACTTTCAGTATCCTAAATGCTGTCCTCTGAAACTCCAAAGTGCATTTTTTTTTTGGAGGAAGCAATAGCAAAAATAAAATTAAAAATATAATAATTGTAAGATGCCTCTATAGAATGGGGGGAAAGGACAGGTAGCGGGGAAACCAGAGAGATGCTCTGAGATGAGTAGGGCTTGGGGTGTGTCTGTGTATTTTCCATTTCTTGTCGGCTAGAGGGTGAAACAGAGTCCCATATGCTGGTAACAGAGTTCTTTTCTCACAGGTTTGAGTTTCTTTCAGGTGGAAAGTACAAACTGAAAATCACTCAGAAAGTTAATTATTTTTTTCCATTCTTCCCCTTAGAAAGCAGAAGGCTGAAACGACACACAGAGGGCAAGGTTGGGAAAAAGATGAGCAGGGATGAGAAGTGCGGAAATACAAAGACTAGCGGAGCTAAACTACATTTCCCAGGAAGCCACGGGCCGGCGCACCGAACCCATCACGCCTCTTCCGGCTCTCGCGACCCTGCCGTCCATGCGCTACTCCCAGGAGCGCAGAGAAGGAGGCTGCATATCCTCCACCGGTGCAGCAGTGACCGCTCCTGCCCGCCAGATTATCCTGGGAGACGGCGACCGCTCCAACTGCGCCCGGAAAGGCGAAGAGACAGTAACCGCCGCCCCTCGGCGCCCGCGAGCCACGTGACCAGCTTGGGTCATGTGACTCCGGAGCGCGGCGGCTGAAGCCCGTTACCCCGGCAACCCCCAGGCCCTCCTTAGACCTTCCGGGAAAGCGCGGGATTCAGAGGCAAAGGTAGGCGAGGTGTGGATGCTCGCTGCCCGCTCCGGACCGCAGGCCCGCGACTGTCCTCAGACCCACTCCTCGCGGCTTTAGTTTCGGGTCACTCCCCGTCGCCGTCCCGCTCGGCTGCGGATGCGCTCTTGTCCTCCCGCAGTCTCCGGAACCCGCGCTTCCTGGGCCCGGGGACCCTTTGCTTGGGATCAGCCTTTGACCCAGAATTTGCGGTCGAGACCTTTACCGCCCTCACCCAGACCTGAACAGAATCGCAGGTGAGGGGGAGGAGGTGTTATTGTGCAGGTCTCCACACCTCCCGCCTCTGCGGAAGCGAGCGAGGGTTAGAGCTGCCTCAGGGAATTACAGTCCGGAAGCCGGGGCAGAGCCGAAGTTTGATTCCTTAGGGAGACAGGAGAGGTTTTTGTTGCAAGTCACCATTGCATAGTTTTTGTTGGCCTTCCCTCGCCCCCAAAGAAACATAATTCGTTCTGATGTGTATATATCCCATTAACTGTCTTTTAGGTAGATTCAGAGTCTTTTAATTTACTAAAATTAATACAGAAATTTGTCTGTGCCTGGAAACGTCTCCAAATCAGGAACCAGTCTATTGGCAAAACTGTTAGTGTAGATTGATAAATAACTAGCTGAATGACAAAGCTGCACAAATACTATCCTTTGCAAAAGGAGAATGGTCTTTTGGATTTGCTAGTTTATAATTTTTAAAAGATTCCTTGTTTGTGTAAGGGATGTTAGAATATCACACGCACACACACCACAGATATGCTTGATTTAGGAAATATTTTGGCGGCCACTTTAACAATTGGATGTTAAGAATAAAGGTGTAATTCTAAACCCTAAGTACAAGGCAGACTGTGAAAGCTGCGTTTCCAAATTGGTTTTATTAATGAATTAGAAACTTCTTGTCCAAAACACTGGTCAATAATTGTGCATATGAGCTAAATCAAAGGAGAAATGTCTAAAGTTTATGCCTCGTAGTTTTTATGATGTGATGAATTTCCCTAAAGGCTGTTTCTTTTCTCTTGTCATTTAGTGTTTCCAACGTAAATACCTTGGAATGTTTACTTTGGGTAATGAAAATTATTGATAATGGCGCATTATTCCAAAGAAGAGCTGGATGAAGAGTTTGAACAGTTTATGAAAGAGGTAAGTTTCTGTTTTTAAAAGCTATATTGTATTCATATTCTTTTTCATTATAGGTTACTACGAAATATTGAATATAATTCCCTGTGCTGTACAGAAGAAACTTGTTGTTTATCCATTTTATACATAGTGGTTAGTATCTGCAAATCTTGAACTCCCAATTTATCCCTTCCCACCAAATTTATTTATGTATGTGTATGACTGGAACGTTATGCTGTACACCAGAAATTGACACAACATTGTAAACTGACTATACGTCAGTTTTTAAAAAAGCTATATTGTAAATTTGTCTCATGAGGAACTCCTTCAGTTCTCTCTTTCACCTCTAAGATACAGTCAATCACCAAGCTCTGTCACCTCTGTCTCCGGAACATATCTGTCATCCATCTAGTTCTCTCCTTTTCACTGCCACTGTCCTCATCCAGGACACCGTCATCTCACCTAGGCCACTGAAACAGTTCCCAAATACTGTCCCAGCGTTCCTTCACCACAGTGCAGCCAGCGTGTCTGTGACATAAATCAGACTCTGTTACTCCCCAGTGTAGAACACTCTGTTGGCCTCTCATCACATATAGAATAAAATCCAAAATTCTTCTTGTGGTTTGTAAAGCCCTGGGTGGTTTTGCTCATGTCCACCTTCCTGACTTTATACCACTCTTCTCCCTTGGACATTCATGCTGCAGTGGCTTTTTTTCTCCCCAGACACACCAAGCTCATTTCATATTAGGAGATTTGAACTAGCTGTTCCCTCTGTCAGTGGTGCTGTCTGTTTCCCTAATCTTCACCTGGCTGGTGAATATCTCTTCTTAAAAATGTCTGCCTAAGAGAAGTTGTTTTCTGTTGATCAAGTAAAAAACTAACCAAGTCCCTTCTTAGTACACTATGTACTTCAGTTTCTCTATGTAGCACTTAGAACCATTCACTCTTTTACTTGTTTATCTCTATGTCCTGCCTCCCATAAGAATGAATAATCTATGACATGATGGCTGTATTTTTTTTTTATTGAAGTATAGTGGATGTACAGTATTTGTTTCAGGTTAGTATAGCATAGTGCTTTTATATTTTTGTAAGTTATTGTAAAATACTGGCTATCTTCCTGTGGCATACAATTCTTACATTTATTTTATACATAGTAGTTTGTACCTTTTAACCTGCTACACTTTTTCCTGTTTTGCCTCTCCCCGCTTCCTTCTCCTGCCCGTAACCACTGGTTTGTTCTATCTGTGAGTCTATTTCTGTTTTGTTATATTCATTCATTTAATTTTTTAGATTCCACGTGTAAGTGATTACTTACAGTATTTGTGTTTCTCTGTCTGACTTATTTCACTCAGCGTATACCTTCCAGGTCCATCCATGTTGTTTCAAACAGCAAAATTTCATTCTTTTTATGGTTGAATAATACTCCATCATATGTATATATATATACCACATCTTTATTCATTCTGTTGCTTCCATATCTTGGCTATTGTACATAATGCCCCTGTTATCTTTAGAGTTAATGTTTTTTGTTTTCTTAGGATATATACCCAGGAGTGGAGTTGCTGGATCATATAATAGTTCTATTTTTAGTTTTTTGAGGAACCTCCATACTGTTTTCCATAGTAGCTGCACCAATTTACATTCCACCAACAGTGCACAAGAGTTTCCTTTTCTCTATATCCTCACCAGCATTTGTTATTTTTTACCATTTTGACAGGTGTGAGGTGATACCTTTTTAGGGTTTTGATATGCATTTCTCTGATGATTAGTGATGTTGAGCATCTTTTTATGTGCCTTTTGGCCGTGTGTGTATCTTTTTTGGAAAAATGTCTGTTCAGGTCTTCTGCCCACTTTTTAATCAGATTGGTTCTTTTTATATTGAGTTGTATGAGCTGTTTATATGTTTTAGTTGTTAACCTCTGTTTGTCATATGACTTGCAAATGCTTTCTCCCATTCTGTAGGTTGTCTTTTCATTTTTGTCAATAGTTTCTTTTTTTTCCCCGTATATTTTAAGTGTATTAAACATAATCACTTTTTTGTTTTTGTATTCTTTTTCATTATAGACTAGTACAAGATATTAAATATAGTTCCCTGTGCCATATAATGGAAACTTGCTGCTTATCTATCTTATATGTGTAGTACTGAGTACCTGCAAATCTTGAACTCGCAGTTTATCCCTTCCCATCCCCTTCTCCTCCTGCTAACCGTAAGTTCGTTTTCTATGTTTGTGAGTCTGTTTCTGGTTTGTAAATAAATTCACTTGTCTTTTTTTTAGATTCCACATATGAGTGACATCATACGGTATTTTTCTTTCTCTTTCTGGCTTACTTCCCTTAAACGATGATCTCCAGGTCCATCCATATTGCTGCAAATAGCGTTATTCTATTCTTTGTATGGCTGAGTAGTATTTCATTGTATAAATATACCACAACTTCTTTATCCCGTCATCTGTCAGCGGGCATTTGTGTTATTTCCATGTCTTGGCTATTGTAAATAGTGCTGCTATGAACATTGGGGTGCATGTGTCTTCTTTTTTTTAACTTTTTTTAATGAGTTATAGAAATTTTACAATGTTGTGTCAAATTCCAGTGTAGAGCACAATTTTTCAGTTAGACGTGAACATACATATATTCATTGTCACAGTTTTTTTCGCTGTGAGCTACCACAAGATCTTGTATATATCTCCCTGTGCTAAACAAGATTATACTGTATAGTACAGGGATGGTTTCCTTTGTTGTGTAAAAGCTTTTAAGTTTATTGAGGTCCCATTTGTTTACTTTCCTTTTGTTTCCTTTGCGGTAAGAGACAGATCCAAAAAAAAATATTGCTACAGTTTATGTCAGAATGTTCTGCCTGTTTTCTGCTAGGAGTTTTTATGATTTCAGGTCTTAACATTTAGATATTTATACATTTTGAGTTTATTTTTGTATATGGTGTGAGAAAAATGTTCTAATTTCATTCTTTTACATACAGCAGCTGTCCAGTTTTCCCAGCATTACTTATTGAAGATGCTGTCTTTCCTCCATCGTGTGTTCTTGCCTTCTGTGTTGTAGATTAATTGACCATAAGTGCATGGGTTTATTTCTGGGTTCTCTATTTTCCCTTGATTTAAGTGTCTGCTTTTGTGCCAGTATTACACTGTCATGATTACTTTAGATTTTTAGTAGAATCTGAAGTCAGGGAGCTCAACATCTCCAGCTTCTTTTTTCTCAAGATCGCTTTGGCTATTTGAGGTCTTTTGTGGTGTTATATAAATTTTAGGGCTATTTTATCTAGTTCTGTGAAAAATGCCATGAGGTACATTAAGTCTGTAGATTGCTTTTGGGTAGTATGGGCATTTTAACAATATTAATGTTTCCAGTCCATGAACACGGGATATCTTTCCATTTCGTTGTATCATCTTCAGTTTCCTTCATCAATGTTTTATAGTTTTCAGACTGTGGGTCTTCTCCTCTTTGGATAAGTTTATTCTTAGATATTTTATTCTTTCGAATGCGAGGTAGAATTATTTGCTTGGCAGGTGGAAATGTGTGTGTAGTCATTTCGGAAGTTTAAAAAGTCACCGAGGTAAGACTGTCCTGGTTGGGGGACTGTATAGTGTATTCCAAAGTGGATTTAGTCAGAGAAACCCGAGTTTGAATCCCAGCTCTGTATCACTTAATAACAGTAGCAACTTGGGCAAGTTGCTTAACTTCTCTGAGTTTATTTCTCCATTAGTAAATCTCTACTGGATTGTTTGGAGACTGAGATAACCTGAGTATAGCTTCTGACATGGACAAGGGAAGTTATTAATAAATGTTGGTTTCTTCTCCAGAAAGAGTGTGTAGAATGAGGATGAAAAGGATCAAGAGCAAGTCCTGGGAAGTCTTGTGTTTAAAAGAAGGGAAAAGGGCCGAGAGCTGTTAGAGTTGGTTAGAAAAGGTCACAGACTACAGTGTCACCCGGGCAGTGGTGCTGCGAAATCAGGGGGGAGAGTTTGGGGAAGTGAGAGCTGGTCACGGATCCAGTCTGTGGCGTGATCAGGGACAATGACTGACAGTGGTCCTTTACTTGTGGCGTTCAGGAGGCCTTTGGTTCCTGGAGGAGAGCTGTTCTGGACGGGAACCAGATTTCAGAGGGCTGAGCAGTGAACTTGTGAAGTTGGTATATACATAAAAAAGAAGTGAAAGGGAGGTAGGAATAAGTCTGTTTGTTTTTGTTTTGCTTGCCTTTTTCCCCCTTCTTTTAGGTAGAGTAGACTTGAGTGTTCATTCTTTTATTGCACAGTTGTGCCGTGTGGTGTGCGAGCCCTGGGGTGCAGGTTTATACTGTGAGGGAGGAGGGTGGGGAGATGGAGGAGGGAGTGGCCATACAGAGATGCAGTGGGATAACCAGGGAAGGGAGAGCCTGGCGAGGTGGGAAGTGACCCCTCTGCGAGGTCTCCTTGGAGTGGTGGAGCGAATTTCTCTTCCGAGAGAGGAAAGAAATGTCCTAAAAGGTGAGTTTAGTGGTGGAGTAAGGTTTTGACCAGAGGTCTTTATTTTCTCTGTGAAGAGAGAGGCCAAGTTATTGACTGAGAGTAAGGGAAGTAGATTGGGGTTTAGAGTAGGGGATACAGGATTGTACTAAAATTTGGACCTGAAGAATAGAAAAGGACAAATGAAAGTTCATTAATCATTGTGATATATGCTAATTTCTCTGGTAAACACCTGACACTCAGTTCTTCCGGTCTTAGAATTTTTTGTTCTTCTAGAGTGATGATAGGTAGTTTTTCTCAATCATTGTTTATTCCTAAACCCTAGAGAGGATTTTTGTCCTTTATACAAGAGGATTTTATTCTTTTTTTTTTAACCTTTCCTGATTAAGATTCTTGATCAAGTTTTCTTTATTTCTTTGTGTTTTTTTTTGATGTTTTTTTCCCTGGTTAACGGCTTGTTTAATGCTGGGTGTGAAATCAGTATTCCGAGGTGTATTCTTGGTGTATAAGTTATTTTGGCCACATATGTTTAGAGATATAAATATATACACTACTACTGATAGGATTGTTTATGTGACAGCTGAACCATGAGAGAACTAACAGAAACGTTTTTAGTGGGAACTTTGGGATTCTTGAATTTAAAATTCAGTGGCTTATATCTGATTCAGCTTTCAGATGATTCTTTTGAAAATTCAAACAAAACACCTAGACAACCTAGAGAAGTGAAGAAGAAAGACGCAGTGCCGTGGTGGATAACTGAGGATGAATTTGAAGATGGTGGTAAATATTAGTTTTTAATTTTAAGTTATTTGACCACAAGGGGGCAGTCAAGACTTTTAATTCTGGGTTTTCTTATTGTGCTATAAATATATAAAGAGAATAATCCTGATAGTGTGGAGTTTTGAGATTTGAATTGATTTTCATATTACTTCATTTTATTACATATTTAGTATATAATTGAGAACCTGTGTTTCTGTATTATCAGGTTATTTTACGTTGAGATAATTTATATGTACTCAAATTAAGATGGTGAATAATGCAGGTATATTTATATATTATTGTGTTTAGTAGTAAATTGGTTTAAGGTGATTTAATAAGATATTCTGACAATGTATTTTTTTAGCAAATCAAAGGTACCTTTAAAAATATAAAATCATGCAACAGAAAGATTGTTCAGAATTTTTTTGTACATTAGATTTCAAACAGCATACCATCAACTAGGAAGAAAGAAAATATTAGTTTGAGAATCAAGAGATTATATGTCAAAGTTGGACTAAATCTTCAGTTGTCTCCAGATTTAAAGTTCTACATTATCTATTTTGTTTGTTTTCCTTTTATTTTATTTAGTTTTTTATTGAAGTATAGTCGATGTGTTAATTTTTGGTGTACAGCGTAGTGATTCAGTTATACATATATATGACAGTGTATTAATGTCATTGCAGTGGGAAGGTTTTAACAAATCTATGGATTTTGATATCACTGTCTGTTAATAACAGTAGAAAAAATAATTTATTGCCCTAATGGTGAAGAACTCATTATTGATCCTGCCTGGCACATGTGTATACCTCTCCTAGAACTCTTCCTAGTCACATCTTTACAAATGGAAACTTCTCTCTTGAATATTTTCTTCAGTATACCTACTATATGTGATGTTGCCATTGTCTGTAAGGACCCCCAGGCTGTCTCTAATAAGTATGTATGTTCACACTATTTGTGGATTATTAAGCACCATTTTATGAACTGATAGCATTTCTATATCTCTCCTCTAGGGGAAAAAAATTTACCTACAGCTTTTGTATTTTCTTCTAAAAATTGAGCCCAAATCCTTTAATGTGACGATCAAGGCTCTACATCCCTAGCTAGAAAATGTGCTAGAAAAATCAGTGATTCCTCTTCCCCGGGAGACACCACTGGCGCCACGCCTCTGTGCAATAGCTCGGGCTTTCTTGCCACGGAGCCCTTCCTGTCATCATCCTTGTCCAGTAAAGCCTGGCGTCACTTACAGTCCTTGTCTAACTGCTAGCTCTCTTGTCAGCATAGTTCCTTATTTTCTCCCTGATTTTGATGTCAGAACATCATGACAGTACTTACACATTGTGTTTTGGTCTGTAGGGCTACTCCTGAGGGTGGGAACTTTGTGAGGGTGGGAAGCACTTCTTTTTCCTTATATCCCTGACCCTCAACAGTCAATATAAATATGTTTATCAATGAATGTTACGGAGAGTCTGATAGTCACTTCTCTGTTTTTTTCTTAATACTATTTTAAAGGAATTACCTTTTTAAAAATCTAGTGTGTTTTTTTCTTAAATCCCCAGACCATGCATAATGTTAAAGTTTACATGTAAAAGATTCTTTTTGAGAACCTTTCCTTTTGTTGGTGCTTGAGAAGGGCATCATATGATTAAGTACTATTGAAATTATTGACAAAAGATTTGAGACTTAATTAACATTAAAGTCTCTTTTCTAGAAAGTAATGAATCAGATATAGAAGACACAGACTTACCCTAAAGGGAAAGAATAGGTTCTAGATCTATTCTATAACCTGACTAAAGATACTGAAAATATCTTTAAAAGAATGTATCAATCAGAGTGGATTTGATTATAAAGGATGCAAAGGATCCTGAAGAAGGAAACTTTGACAGTGTCCATTTAAACACAAGGGAGAAGGTTTCTCTGCCCAAGGGCATAACCTGGTCCCTGGTTCAATCACACTCAAACATGTATTGAGTTCATGTTATGTTCTGAGTACTAGGCACTAGTATACAAAGACAAAATATGGTTCCTGCCGTCAAGAGTGCAGAAGTTGCTAACGAAGAGTTGAACACCCCTTTTGTGGGGAATGCATTCCCAATCTTAGGTAAATGCCATTAAACATCAGCATTGAGCTACTCTGACCTTTTATGCTTTCTCTTTCAATTACCTTAAGGACAAACTGTTCTGCCTAGATGGTGAAACTATCTAATTCTTCTACTGGCTGTACTCTTTACTAGAAATAACTAAATCATAGCTAAATCAGATCGTGGTTTCAGTTGTATTAGTCGCTTGTGAGGTTGGCTAGTGTGGGTCACATCCCTGAGTCCAGCCGCAGAGCTGGGGTCAGACCCTGGACAGATGCCCCAACACACTCTGACCTTGGCATGTGTGTTTTCATTTAAAGTGCCTACAGATAGATCTCTTGATTTTTTCCAGTTCTGTGGAAGTTATTATTTGATGCATTAAAACTATTATTCACACAAAGCCGTGAAATAGTTTGATTCTGAACCCTTTCCACTTGTACACTAATTAGGAAATTGAAGTTAGAATTTGTGACTTAATAAAGCTTCCTTCTAAGCAAAAGTGATTTTTCTAATCTTAATATTCATATCATACAATATAGTTACTTACTTTTTCCATATATCAGTTTTTTTTACAAGAAATACATACTACTAAGGTAAAGAAATTTTGATACTGTAGAACTTCTCCATTGTTTTCTGGTGCTTTTGGATAAAGAGCAAAACACTACCCCTGGCCTGTGAGGATGAGTATGGTCTAACCATTGACCCCCACTTGGGGGTTATTTCCTCCCAGACCACCCTCACTCTGCGGCCCCAGCCTCAGTGGCCTTTCTGCATCCTCAGACGTGGCCTGTTCCCCCCAGTGTTGACCCTTGGGCCTCCTCATTGCCTGCAGTTGTCTCCCCTTCTCCTTCACATAGGCAGGAGATACACTTTAAAGTGGCCTGGTGTACCGTATTAAGTGCTTCTGCTTCAAAATAATTTTTAAAAATCTTGTCTCATTATACAAATTTTTGAATTACTCTATTTAATACAGTGCAGTGCAATCAAATAGAATTGTAACTTTTTTGTGAATCTTTGGTTTGATGGATTTTTATTTAATAGACAATATTTATTTTGTAGATACTGTCTACGTATAACTAGTATAACTGGAAAAAACTAGTGTAACAGTACTACCATTTTGGCATAATGATCAAAATAGTCTTGTTAATATAAATATCCAAGTATATTAAATCCCCTCCCTAGGACTGCTTGGAACAAATGTAAGCTATTTGAAAACGAAGAAGACTTCTCAGCCTGCTATGGAAGTAGAAGAGGAGTCTGCTGAAAGGATTCAATTTCTTAAGAGCAGTGGAACCTCTATCTTAAGTATTGACAGCTTAGAAGCCAATGGTAAGAAATGTGAGGGCTGTGAGTTGACAGGTTACTGTGCTTATTGTCAGAATTTTTAGAAAAATTAATTTATAACCATTGTGGAGCCTCCTTTACTGAAGCATGTAGACAGTTTTAATATCTTCCTAGAATGTTTAGAATTAAACCTCTGGAGAAGCCTTACATCTTTACATATCATTAAGAATGTAAAGCTATATTTAGTGGGTAAGAGTAAAGTAAAATATGTTTCAAATTTTTTTAAGTTTTATTATATAATATCAATAAATGCATCATTAAAATTAATTTTATCAAAATTCTGTATGTTAATAAAATATATTTGTGCTTTCCATTTAGACATAGTAGTTTCTGAGCTCAATCACAGTGTTCTCGGATTGGGATTGGACACATTAGAAGAACAAGAGGAAAAAGAGCAATTTTTTGCCAGGCTTGAGAAAGGCTTAACCTCTTCCATTGATTATTCACGATTAAATAAGGAATTGGATTCCAATGGCTCCATACATTTTAAAGCTTTACCTGGGTAATGTAAATATAATATAAACTAATCATTAAATGATATTTGTGTCTTTCTATATTTTTGGGAGGCTGGTATATGCATGGACTTAAATGTGCAAGTATTATAACAGGCGAAAGTTAAATCTTATTTTTAATTCTCTTCTCTGTTCATTAGTTTGGTTGGAATTTCATGTGTGTATGTATACATATTCATATATACATATACATAAATATGTATGGAATATGTTGATTTGTATTTGAGAACCTCCAAATATCTGAAATTTCATGCCTAAGATACTATCAAGTCTAATAGCACATTACCAAAAAGACGTAACTAAGTAATTTATTAAGTGATTTTCCAAGATAAGGTAAATAAGAGAATCCAGGTAGCTCTTACAAACTCAGGGGAGATAGGAACAGAAAGGGAAGGAGGAACCAGGGAGCGAAGACTGATTTGGTTTGTGTCCTACCTTTGTGTGTGGTTGACCCTAATGATAATTAAGAAACCTCTTTTATCTTGGAAATCCTGCTCGTTGACCGAGCTGGTGCTGTGTAAGTGCAGTAGACCTTTGGCATTCTCAGGACTTTTGTGAAACCTGATCTCTTTAATTTCCTCAGTTTCAGTTTTTCATTTAATTTTTAAAAGTATAAATGGAAGTCATGTAGCGATTTAAGACTTTAAGAATACCAAACTACAATTAAATGAAGGCTCAGGAGAATCATAGCCTCTGGTTACTAGAGTGCCTGTTCTCCTCAGGATGCTTCATTTTTTTATGTAATGGACAAAGCAGTGATTGTCATGAGCTGCATGGGGTAAGAGATTTTTAATCTACTTGCAAGCCAACAAGTTGTTATTAAGTCAGTTTTATGGATGCTGACAACAGATGCAAGATTCCTGGATCAGAAGCAAAAGGACTTTATTTCTTATCACAACAGAAGTACCTGGATGTCACACTTATTTGCCTGGGTTTCTCATGCCCTTCAACGTTCTTAGGGTCCGTGACGGCTGTCCCTCCACGCAGTGGCCTGCTTTACGGGAGAGGGTCACTGAGCCTGGGGCAGGAAGTGGTGACAAGCCTGCTTTGAGGGCAGAAACACTGCCTTGCCTCATGTCTCCAGGTTGCCCGCTGCAAACAACCCTGAGAAATAACCGAGAAAAGGGGAGTCCAGGCCTTGTGTTCCTGGCATACCCCGCAAAGATATGCAGAGACACTCAGGGCCCATGGTGATTGCCTATTCTAACAGGGGATAGCACAGACTATAAGCATACATAGGTTTGCTGGCCACAAGTTTTTGCCCCTTTGTAATATTTCTTAATATTTTCTTATTTAACAATATTCTTTTTAAAATTTGATTGATTGATTGATTTTGATATATTTTTTTAATTGAAGTATAGTCAGTTACAGTGTATCAGTTTCTGGTGTACAGCACAATGTCCCAGTCATGCAAATACATACGTATATTCGTTTTCGTATTCTTTTTCATTAAAGGTTATTACAAGATATTGAATATAGTTCTTTGTGCTATACAGAAGAAATTTGTTTTTTATCTATTTTTATATAATGGCTAACATTTGTAAATCTTAAACTCCCAAATTTATCCTTTCCCACCCCCTTTCCCCAGTAACCATAAGATTGTTTACTGTGTCTGCAAGTTTGTTTCTATTTTGTAGGTGAGTTCATTATTCTTAACTACTGACAGATATCTCTCTACTCAAGAACAGTATGGTATTGCTGTCAGAGCAGTGCAGTACTGAGTGTGCAATAGTGTTTGCTATTAGAGTTTATAGTTTCTAGGATCTGCTAATGATCTCACTTAAGACCCAGCTGGGGGACTGAAGAGGTAGAACTGATTTCTTGGTTTGAAAGAAAGCAGTATATGAACTAACATATCCAATAGAATTAAAACTTGCTCAAGTTCCTTTGTCACCTTCTGAATATTATTGGTTTAAGGCTCTTATTCAGCTTCCATTTCAGGGTTAAATGACTTCTTGGCATGTAAATGCTGGCTCTGGCTTTTTTTCCTGACTTCTAGTAGACTTCACTGGTTCCCACAGCCTGTGGTCAGTTCCTAATCTTTAGTGTGGAAAGGCTGTCTGGGCCCTGAGACATGAGATGTATACGCATTTATGTATAAAATCGTGTGTATTTGTGTATAAGGTTAAGAACTACAGCATTTTTTCCTTTGTATTACTTTGGCAGCTAGCTACAGTTAGTCTTAAACTTTGAATCTCCTTTATTTTCAAAACATTTTCCTCATAGCTTCCAAATATTTAGCTTTTGATAGAACAGGAGTTCTTTTTTTTTTAACATTTTTTATTGATTTATAATGATTTTACAATGTTGTGTCAAATTCCAGTGTTCAGCACAAGAACAGGAGTTCTTGAGAAGACATTTGTACTGTTAGAGATTTTTTTAAATTTACACAAAAGATTGCATGGAAATGTACTGTTAACATGTAATACTCAATTAAGTAAATTTTTTTTAGTAATCAAGCTAATGTGGAACTAACTGAAGATAAACAAGAGAATGAATCAAAACATGAAGAACTGGCAGGTAATTTCATTGGCTTTAAAATTTACAATATTTGAAGAGATAATATAGCTTTCAATAAAGACATTAAGAGAAAAAAGGAAAATTGTATTATTTTGGAAAGAGCTTGAACGGGTAAGTAGAGTTGCCTATGTTACAGTCTGAACTACTAAGAAATTATAGGTGCCCTGCCGCCTCATTCATTGGGAGTGGGTAGTGGACCCATTGGGAAGACAGAAAAAGGATTTTTATGCTTGGTTGGACCAGGGGAATCCATGAAGCCAGGACAGATACCTCCAAAGCATGGTTGGGGAGGTATAACTTTTTCCGTCTCCAACTTTTAAGGTGTCTGTTTTTATATTTGAAATGGTTTTCTTATAGATAGCATATAGCTGAGTTTTGCTTTTATGTCCAATCTGACAATCTCTGACTTTTAATTGAAATGTTTTTACCCTTTGCAAAAATATATTCACTAGTATGAATGTATTTATTTATTTTTGCCATTTATTCCTTTATCCTTCTATCTTTTTTTGTTACTGCTTTTTTGTTCTGAATTTTTTTGGATTGAGTGTTTGTAGTGTTCCATCTTAACCCTTATTTTGGCTTGTTAGTTGAACTTCTCTGCTGTATTTTCTCTTTGTTGTCCTATGGTTCACAATATGCATCATTATCTTATCAGAGTCTACTTTCAAATGACGCTGTACCACTTTATATGAGTCCGTAACCATGATAAACTCCCCCCAACCTTTTTGCCATTTTTGGCATATTTTTTTCTATTTATCTTAGAAACCCCATGATTCATTATTACTACTATTATTATTATTATTGCTTTCAGTAGTCTGTTACCATTTTTTTTTAATTTTAAGGAAGATAAAAAATTTATATAAAAATTTATATTTATCCACATACTTACCATTTTCAATGACTTACATTCCTTTGCATAGATTTGAATTTGTTTTTTCTTTCACTTTTTAAAATAAGGTATAGTTGGTCTATATAACATTAGTTTCAGGTGTACAACATAGTAATTTAATATCTGTATACACTGTGAAATGATCACCACAATAAGTCACCACAATCTGTCACCTTACATAATTACAAGAAAATTATTTTTTCTTGTGATGAGAACTTCAAAGATCTACTCTCTTAGCATCTTTAAAATGGTTGCTATCTAGTATTATTTTGAGTTTCTATCTAGTATTTTTCTTCAGCATGAAGAACCTCTAACATTTCTTATAGTGAGATCTAGGAATAAATTCTCTCAGTGTTCATTTGTCTGAAAACATATTTTGCCTCTGGTTTTTTTTTCTCTTTTTTTTTTTTGGCTTGATTTAAAACTGTGGATTTTTTTTTTTCTTTGAGCACTTTAATCATTTCATTCTCTTGTCCTCTGACATTATTTCTCATGAGAAGTGAGTGCTAATTCCTGGTATTGTGATTTTGTACATATTGTGTATTTTTTCCCCTCTTTTCAAAATTTTCTCTTTATGCCAGTTTTGTGCCAGTTTGACTATGACGTAACTTGGTGTGCTTTTGCATGTATCCTATTTGGAGCTGCTTGAGCATCAGTTGATCTGTGAATTTATATAGTTTCCATCAAAATGAAAAAAATGTTTCTGCCATTAATTCTTCAAGTATCATTTGCTTTCTGTTCCTAACG